AAATATGAAATCAACCTACTTTATTTATAAAACATTTTTGTTTTGATACATCCATCCAATCACAGGGCTGAATGTTAAGATTCAAATTACGTCACAGGAGTACAATCCGGCTTAACGTTCATTGGTTAGGCGGAAGAGGCAACCGTAGTAAGTCTAGGAACCGTGGGTAATACCCATCGAGCAAAAAGATAAAAGAGGGAATGTAAAAGTAGTGGGGACAACAATATTGTTAGACAGGAAGTGCCATCTTGAGAGGCCACTTTAAACAAGGAAAGACAGTCTCTTTCCTTGTTTAAGAAGTCAAATTTAGTTTGGTTATGTTATTGTTTGTCCCAACTGTCACATGAAATTTTATTTATATTGAAGTTTTTTACCAATTATGTCACTTTTTAGACATTTATTTATTATCGTTAATATTTAATTAAAGCTTTCTTGTCTGAAAAATATTTTACAGGTATTGTTAACAAGTGTTGGAAAATTTAAATTTAGCGCCTTTGCATTTCCGGATATGTCCGCCATCAGAGGCCACTTTTTTGGTCTCCTTTTCATAACGATTAGATTCCCTCTTTTATCTTTTTGCTCGATGGTAATACCCATCGAGTTAGAATCTATGGAGAGGGCATCACGTGACTAAAAACGACCTCACTTCGGCCATATTTTTATTATTGTTTTGACACTATTGACAGGTTGTATATTTTTGTTTATGTTTGTTGTTTTTCGAATATTTTTAGTTTTATAATACTTTTATAGAAACTGTAATAATGTATTGTGATAGTGCATAATAATGGTTTTTTGTTCTCAACATAGTTGCAGTAGCAGAAGCATTGTTAATAAAAAATCTTCAGAAATAACGTTGTACAGGTTAGTATACATATATGTTAACAATGTAATGGCCCGTACTTCAGAGAATAAATTAATAGTATTTGACTGTATTAATTTATCTTTATGTATAATATATCGTATTTTTACTGTTTACTGCGGGATAAATAAATCATAGTTTATTAAAAATGTATTGCACTTTTTAGATTATGATTAAATTTTCTAATTAACTAGTCATATTTTTATAGTAGTTTTAATATTATTGAGTCCGGCCATGATCCCACCGTCTTATTGGTATTATCGTTAGCCACACCTACCTACGCCGTTTTTAATACACACGTTAATATGCTCATAGCTTCTCCATAGATTCTAACTCGATGGTAATACCTAAACTATTTAGGGAGATCGCAAAACGTATCCTATCATTAGGTAATGCTTAAGCGGTTAGGCAATTCTTAGCGTATGGTAAAATCCGTTTTAGAGTTAGGACGTCGACGTAACTAAGCCCGCTTAGGTAATTCTTAAATATTTAGGTATCGTCGGTGAAATCGGGCATTAGAGACCTTAGTCTATTAATTTTAATAGACCGGACGATGTTGCATTTTTATAGCATTGATACAACTCAAAATTGTAGCGCCTGCGCCATATCCCGCTTTCTTACTCCTCCGTATATGTGTCTAAGTATTCGTCTTTCAAAGCGGCCTAACAGTTTTTCGTCGCTTTTCATCATAGTCCATGTCTCTGACGCGTATATCAGGACAGGTTTAATAAGAGTTTCATATATTAGTATGTTGGTTTTTCTGCTAATTATGTGTGATGTTAAGAACTGCTTTAGTCCAAAGTAAGCTCTGTTCGCAAGGTATATTCTTCTCTTAATTTCTACGCTTACTAGTTGCTGTTATTTAGTTATGTTCTAAAGTTGTGCAAAATTTAAAAAAAAAAACTAAAAACACATGGCAGGAAAGAAAACTTCTGCCATACTTACTCTAAACAGCACAGTCACTTGTCAACAAATTGTTAACATTTTGGGTGAAACCTTTTATAAGAAAGCAACAAATAGACTTACTTCAAATTGGCAGCTTCCCATGTCTACTAATCTAAACTCCAGGTTATCTGATAGCAGAAAATCCGATCAAATGTCTTTAAATATGCCGTTTACATTACAAGAATTATCAGACACATTGTAATGTTACAAAAATTCAGCTGCAGGTCCAGATAACATCCCCTTTATCTTTATTAAAAATGTTTCAAGACCAAGTCTCGCTAAATTGCTGGAAATATACAATTTAATATGGACCAAAAAATCATTTCCAACTTGGCAAAAATTATTATGGCAAAAATTCCTGTTAAAAAACAAGGCAAACCTTCAACTGATCCAAATTCCTACAGACCAATTTCTCTTACATGTACAATGTGCAAACTTATGGAGAAAATGATCAATAAAAGACTCCTGTGGTTCCTAGAAAAATATAAAATAATAAATTTGGCACAATCATGTTTTAGGTCAAATCGAAGTACAGCAGACAATCTAGCAATCCTTCAAACATCAATCATTAACGAGTTTTAGTGCAAACAAGACCTAATAGCTGTTTCGTTTGATATCGAAAAAGCATTCGATACTCTGTATAGGCCTCTTATTATAGCTAAACTCGAGGAGTACAGTATATCTGGATATATCTAATATAAATTTGTAACAAATAGAACTTTTAACGTAAGAGAAAATGGAAAAATTTCTAGAACTTTTAAACAAACTGATGGCGTTCCCAAAGGATCGGTATTGAGTCCTTTAGTCTTTATTCTTGTTTTAAACGATATATGTAAAACAATTGAGCTTACAGTCAAGTTTGCACCACTCTACGTAAATGATTTAATAATTTTTTGCAGAGGCAAAGACACTGTTGCCACTTGCAAACTACTTCAGAATGCTACTGACCAATTGCTTGAATGGACTTCAGTAAGTGGATTTAACTTTTCTGTTGAAAAGACAAAAATCATTAAGTTTTCTCGCAGGACAGCTATAGATCCTAAAATTACCATAAATTGTACTTGTTCACCTGCAGTAAAGAGTATGCGGATTTTAGGACTCACATACCAACAGCAAACTTACTTGGAAATGCCATTTAAAAGATCTTAAAACTAAGTGCATGACAAAACTTATTTAAAACTCTGTCTAATCATCATTGGGATGCAGACGAAGACTCCTTGCTTCAGATTTATAGATGTCTTATTCGTTCTAAATTAGACTACTGCAGTTTCATTTATATGTCAGCTAGCCCATCAAATTTTAAACTTCTAAATTCTGTACACAACACTGCATTCCGAATATGCCTTCCCCTCTGGCTACGTCGCCGGCAACTCTTTTTATAATATGCTTCTCGACTCTCAGCTAATACCGAAAACCCAGCTTATAAATTATTAAGTAATGAACTTTTAAACTCTCCTTCTCCTATTAAACTTCAATATATGCCACAGTATCTCTCACCACACCTGAATAATATCGATCTTTCAGCCACAACTCCAATATTAATATCACCAAAACCTCCCTGCTATAAATTGATAGCAGATTTTAATCTCTCGTTAACTAATTATGATAAGCACCAGACAAATCCACAATTTCTAAGGCAAACCTAAAGAATTAATTGCTAACAACAGATTTGACAAAATTTTATACACAGATGCTTCTAAGAGTCCTATAGCTGTTCGATGTGCTGTAACTTCAAACACAGATTTAATCATATCTAGCAATCTCCCAAATTTCAGCTCCATACCTACTGCTGAATTATTCTCTATTCTCCAAGCTACAAACTTACTATCTCCAGAATATATAAAAGTAGCAATATGTACAGACTCTTTAGCGTCTATCTATTCTCTCAAAAGTATGTACACGGTAAATCCTTTGATTCAAGCTATTCAAAAGTCTTTCGATAGTTTAATCTCAATGGGAGTATCCATAACCATGATCTGGATTCCGTCTCATGTAGGAATCCCTGGTAACGAACGAGTTGACCTATTTGCAAAACAAACCTTGTCTTCAAATATGGAGACTAAAAACATACGACTGCATACAGATTTACAGTCGTTTTTTTAAAATATCATCCAAATGTCTTGGCAAGATCACTGGAATAAAATCCCTTCCAAGCTTCGTAACATCCATCCCAGCGTTAAAAAGCTTAAGTTTCCTTCCATGACACGAAAAAACAAAATCTTAATCCGCCTACTAAGAATCGGCCATACAAGACTAACTCATAAATATTTAATGACTTCTCAAGATCCACCTACATGTACACACTGTGGTAATATCCTGTCTGTTAAACATATTCTCGTAGACTGTCCCCGCTTTATTAACGAAAGAAAAAAGTCACAATTAAAGATAAAAATACGTTTATTGACGTTTCAATAAACTTGAAACGTCATTGAAATTGAAACGTCAATAAATAAACGTCCTATTTTTATCTTTAATTGTTTCTTATTCCCAGTTTAATAGTAATTAATTTACAATGCCACAAGAAAATAGCTTCAGAACAATAGAAAGAAAAAAGAATCGAGTCAAAACCTACAAAATATTCTCAGTTCGCCAGATCAATTCCAAAACCTTACTAACTTTCTCTATGAAACCTAGCTTTACCAGGAAATTTAGAAGAAGAAACGTAGTTTAGAATTTGATAATTGTAATAATTGTACCAATATTTAATGTATTTAATGTATTTTTTTATTGAATGTAATGTTATTGTATATTCTTATAATGCATTATAATAAAATGGAACCTGTGTCAGTGACCTACGCTGTCGAGACACGTAAAGCTAAATAAAAAAAAATTATTATTACAAATGTTACAGGAATGCCGCTAATAACTTTTGGGTGGATGCGACTGTGTATCTTTAAATAAAAAAAAATTAAAAATAAAACAGTAGGTATATTATAAGTTGAAATAAAGTTTCCATTCACCTCATAAAATTCGCTCATTTATTTTATTTTGGTTTGTTCCTCGCATACCATTAATATATTATTTATGTGCCTGTTATTATCACTGTTAATAACATTCTTATACCGGTTACCTGGATTCCCAATACTTTGCCACGGGCACTTTCTACTCACATATTAAAGCTAATTTTAATTGATTTTGGATGTTATTATTGTTGTGATAAGTGAAGAAATATTTATATAAAAAATTAAGTTAAAATATGTTGAAAAATATTTTAAAAAGTGTTACCGATGTGCCTAGGTTAGAATATAGTTTGGCAAGATTTAGTTTGTTTAGGACGTTGAATCAGGAAAAAAGGTATATTAGGGTTGTTTTATTTTTTATTAACCAATTAAACTTAAATAAAAAACCAAAAAACATATACACGGGGTGTGTGAGAGCATTATTCACCTGAAAATGCACACCCCACCCAACCACCCTTAAACCCTACCCCTATTATTTTTACCCAAAAACCTACACTAACTAACAAACTGTTAAAAGTAAAGTAAAGTTAAATAAACAATGATTAAAGGAAAAGAACAAAAATAACTGGACCCAGTCCAATTCACTATAGCCCGCAAGCCAAGGCCCCTCAGGCACGCCCATCAGACAAAGACCCTTCAGGCAACAGCCTTTCAGGACCAAACTACCCTAGAGGCAACCGCGAAACCTGAGTATCGAGGCTGTGTGCGACAAATACGGGCTCGATGGCCAGACCTATCGATCACTCAGCCGGCAAGGAGACGAAAACTTGTTTTGTCAAATTCCCGACTGTCTGATCGAGCACACAACTTCCGAACAGAAGGCCGACAGCCTGCTGAGAAATAATATAATTATAAATTTTGCTTAGATATTAAATTTCTGATCTTTTGTTTAAATTAATATCACTTCTGCTAATACAAACCATTTCCAAAAAAGTCCTTTTAAATTTATTACTTTCATTATACAAAATTCTAATGTCATCAAAATCCATAATATCGTATTTGTCGATTACATGCTCTGCTAACGCACAAGATGGTTTTTTAATTCTACAGTCACTTTTGTGGAAAATAATACGGCTTGACAGATTTCTTCCGGTCTCACCAACATACACAGCTTCACACTAAGTACAACTAATGCTGTATACTACATTTGTTTTATCTATTTTATCTATAGGATATTATTCGACAAGCGAAAGCTGGCGGGTTGCGCATAGAACAAATTGAAAAGTGGAAGGGTTTGAATTTCTATTGCAGTCGGCTAGGAGTTCATATCGTGTAATTAGTGTCATATTTCTGACAGTGTTGTCAAGTATTTACATTTTTATTTGGAGTAGCTCTATATTATAAACTACTATTTATATTTATTAAAATGGCAAGTGTATTAAAAGGCAATCCTTTGAGATCTCAAGCACGAGAAATAATTTACAATGTTTTTAAGTTTACAACCGAAGAAGCTAATGCAGATAAAGTCTTAGTTGATTTAAAAAAGATACAAGAACGTGTAGCTCAATTAACTGCTAATTATAATACTCATTTTCAAAATAAATTCAGATATAAATAATTTAATTTAAGTTACAATCAATAAAATTATAATCAATAAATAAATAAAAACTTATAAAACAAAAAAATACCAGTAAATAATAAGTAAACAATGGATTCGTTAATTAGTACTTTACAGTTCAGTATTTTTGATAATACAACGTATATCTGTAGCGACAAGCTAATTATTTAAAAAATTAAATAACAGTTCTCATGTTAAAATTTACATTATCGCAATTGTAACGAAATATGATATTGTAAGCAATAACATCACAAGATAAAAGGCCGACAATACTTGAGTTTACTGTCTGGCTTAGAAAAATAAACAAAAAACGTGTGTTCTGTGTTATGTTTAGTTTTGTAATCCTTAAGACACACAAGTTGCATCAGTCCGCGATACATACAAAAATACATTCCCTTCGAGAATTAATTACGTTTTATGAAAATAAATATTATTCAAAAATTTTTTCTACGTTTTATTCAATATTATTATTATTTTTATTTTGTTTTTGTGATAAATACGTTGATCACACACGCAATGACACAACCGCGGAACATATCTATTAACGTAATTTTTAGATCCCAACTAAATTTTTGATATGGCAACTATGCATTTGTGACACCCGCGATTAAGTACTTCTCCTATCTCTCTTAGAATAATTCCTTCTCTATTTTCGCGCAGCTCACCCGCCAGCTCTCGCTTGTCGGATAATACTTAGTTTTGGAATCTAAAGATGAAATAGTTTTGATGTTTTTTTTTTGATATTTTTATATTGTCAATAACCTTTAGTGTTTGTAATAGTTTAGGTGTTAATGATGGTGTAAAAAAGTAGTGAATGGTAATAAGTGTTGTGATTATTGGATACAATGTTCTGAGATTTAGCAAAAAATGGTGTTAAGTTATTTATATTAGAAATATTAGAAAAAGCATCCTATGTAGCATATCTGGAGGATAAAAGTTCTCAATTAAAATATTTTTTATTAATTGAAGATCTTCTTGTAGATAATCCGGATGGGAAAGCCTTTAAACACGTTCTTTTAATCCTGTTAAATTGGTCGTGATTAAGGATATATGATGGTGAATGTTCATTTATTATTGTTTTTAGTTTAATCTCAGAACTTTTCTTGGGTTTTTTCTTGGGTTTTTGTGTAGGTTTCCTTAAATTTTTTCTGTTTGTTTGCCTTTTTCTGACAGAGCTGGAGTATATGTTTTGTAAAGGTGATAGAATTTCATCTACGTCCCGTTTACGGCTTTTTTTTCTGTTTGGATTCTAATATCTAGTGTAATTTTTTCCTGTATTTGTAATGCAATTTTAATATTTTTATGTTTTTCATTAAATAATTTTTTATTGTTCAAATAAGAACCCACCTTCTCGGGTTATACGGAACTACACAAACTAACTATTTTGCAAATTATTTTTGCAACACAATGTTTATTAAAACCTAGTGTGAATCATATTTTACATATTTTTAGACCCAACTATGAAAATCGCCAACGAAATCTAGACTTTTCTTTCGAAGAGAATGCTATTATCTCAATCTATCCAGAGATCAAAGAGGAAATAATAAACCAACAGTTGATATACCACCAACAATTTCCAGATCTGAAATACAGGTTTTCAAAATTACTCGACTATCACCTAAAACTAGATCCTAAATATTTGGCTCGAGCAGTATTTCTGGTTCACGCTTACAGACTTTTAGAAAAGCCATCATTACTTAATGAAATCAATATAAGAAAAGCTTCCATATTAGGATGGTGTCATAAAATGGTAAGATATTCTTCAATAATAACACTGTTTTTGTTAGAATGTCTTTAACGTAGCGAAGTATTATTATTATCCAGATTGTAGCCATATTGAACTCACTACCTGCCAGGGAGAACTTACTTACTTCAGGTAAATATGGCATCAAAAGAATTGAGCTCTGGGGTAAGGCTCTTTCCATGTTATCAAGACGTAAGTGATATGGTATATATCACTTACGTTTCGACAACAGTCGACATATCTTCTATCTTCTAAAAGTTTTGAGTACAGCTTTCTCCATCGTCTAATAAAGATATTCATTCAGATTGTTTTATGCTTTATAGGTGAATTTTTAGATAACACCCAAAGTAAAGAGAATTAAAGGTACTCTCTGGGTCTGTTTTATTTTTATCTTTCCTATTTCTATTTTCATATCTCTCTATCTGGCAACCCTTTCGTGATATTTGATGATTAACTGGCTAGTTAATTCATTAATTGGTATAAGATCTGGTCTATTATGTGCCACTGGTTGGTCTGTGAGCACAGTGCGTTTCCACTATAGCTTGTAATTTGAATTTTTAAGCATAGGTACTCCCAGAATTAATAATATGGGAGATGTTTGGCTTGGACAAGTCCAAACTGTTGATAGCTAACATACTGGGTTATGGCGTTTCTTATATTCAGTTGCAGCAAATGCCTTGCAGCCCCATGGATTGGAAGGATGCTTTTTTTTTCAAAATTTGTCATTTTGGATATTTCATGATCAATTTCCAGTGATTTTTGATTTTTAAAATATCCGGAAAGCGAGTAAGAAACCTTGTGTTTTAGGGAACATTTTTTTGATGTCAACCAATAGTTCGACGCTGTAATGTCAAGATAGTTTTGACTTTCATTTCAATGTTAGCCATGTAGAGCTAGTACTTGCTCATTTTTAACCATCGCCTGGATGTTTTCCCTATATTTCATATCGAATCCTCCGTGCTGAACCTTTTCCCTGAACATTTAAAACACTACACTTATTTAGTGTAAAATCCACTACCACTGGAAAAGGTTTTTACAGTTTGCAGCATCTAATCTGGATGGTTTTTAGTAAAAGTCCTTAATTTTAAATCCTTTATATAGAAGTACAAACATATGAATATTATTTAATGTTGATGAGCACTCACAAACTTCCAACATGCGTTTAGCTAGAAGTTTTGAACTCTGCTCTAGAAATCTTTTCATTTGATATAATATACTTCTTCAGTATTTAAAAATTCGTAGTTAGTAGTACTGTTATGCTTACGGATATGTATCGTTTCTTTGATTCATTTAGCATTGGTTTTAAGTATAGCCAATGTGCAAAATTGATTTCCCCAAACCTCATAATTTTTTTCTGGGTTTGGGAACCATTTATTGGGACTTTCTACAATAGACTTTAGTTTACAATAAGACAACTTTCTTCTTCTTCAGGTGTCATCTCCGCTACAAAGGTTGGCAATCATCATAGCTATTTCAATTTTTGAGGCAGTAGCTCTAAAAAGTTGTTTTGAGCTATATCCAAACCATTCTCTCAGGTTCCTAAGCCATCAAATTCGTCTTCTTCTGATGCCTCTTTTGCCATCTATCTTTCCTTGCATTATAAGTCGCAGGATGCCATACTTCTCGCCCCGCATCACCCCGCAGTGCTCAAATAATGTGTCTCACTTCCGGTTTTTACTTACTTCGTAAGCGGAGTTAAAACATGAAGAATAGTTGTCAGAGACAAGGACGAATGAAAGATTGTTCTGAAGAAGAAGAAGATCAAGTAAATAGAGCAAACAAAGACGCAAGTTGCCTGAATGAAACAATATGGAGAAGTAAAAATATTAGGAAAGAAGCTAAAGGTAGAATTTACAAAACAGCCATCAGACCAATAATGACATACGCGGCTGAAATTAAACCTGAAACAGAGAGGACAAAAAGGATGTTAGAAACGGCAGTGATAAAAACACTTGAAAAAATTAAACCTGAAACAGAAAGGATAAAAAGGATGTTAGAAATGGCAGTGATAAAAACACTTAAAAAAATTGATGGTAAGACACTATGGAACGAAGCTAGAAGCACAGAAGTAACAGGGTAAAAAATAGAGTAGAATGGAACAATCATATAAGCCGAATGACAATAAATATAGTAGTAAAGACGACAAGAGACGATTCCTCAATAGGAATATGATCAGTAGGAAGACCACGAAAACGACGGAAAGACAACCTTACTGGAGGCACATTGAAAAACAGACAAAGCCATGTCTATATAAAAAGAATAATAAGAAGAAGAAGGTTGTTATTGGAGGGGTAACAGCTAATTATACTTTACTCAGTAAATAAATAGGTTTTAGTATTAGTTAGTAAAAAAGTAGGTTTTCGATAGTTGAATTTAAAATATCCTTAAAAGTGTTGGATAAATGTTTTTTAAATTTGTGACAATTATTCTTCTTCGTCTTATTTAACCAAATTTTTATTAAAAAACTGACTATGTCCAAGTCGTCCAAGTTGCTTTCATCTGGAAACCTCAGGTGGTTGCCATGGTCCAATTTTCTTTTTATCTCCTAAAGATTTGATGGTGTGAACTTTCTTTTATTGTTCCAGTTCTCGAACCTTCCTTTCCTTTCCTTTCCTATTCCTTTATGAAGTAGTTATTTAGATTCATACTTACATATTGGGGACAATGGGAAATGAGATGATTTCTTATTTTGACATTTTTTATTTTTACCTGCATTACTCTTATTACTGGGATGTGACATGAATTTACAATGGATCCGGGACATATCTCAACAGACTTGGTAGCATTTTTATGCCTGTATGATGGTAAAATACAATCTGTAAGGCCTATAATGATATATTTCACGTTGGCGGTGCCCATGCAAAAAGTGTTTTCCGTAAATAAAATAATGTAATTACTTAATATAATAACTTTATTATAACTAAGTATACTAAATTTTACGATGCATTTTTCTACATTATATTTATTAACCTCAGAGTTACATTTTTTATATTTAGAAATCAGAATTAGAATTAGAAGTTAGCATTTATATTATTTTTTTTTGTGTATTCTTCATTGTGAATATTAGAAATCTTGGAAATTAATTTAATATAAAATATTTCTTTCACCCATTTTACCACATTATAATGTGAAAACCTTGAATTATCGTTGTCTGTGTGGCAGTCTGTCCATGAACACAACTCCTCCCTATATATATACCTATACATATGGAATGACAAGGGTAGCTAGAAAGCCTACAAACTAATGATGGTATTATTGGTGAGAAATTTGACTTTTAATATCCTATTTCATAATTTCAACTGAAAGTACTGTTTTCGAAAGTCGCCGAAATAGAACAAGCGATATATTATTCGACGTACCTTAGCAAGGCGGGAACAAATATATATACTTTCTCTTTTTATATCAGTTCCAGTTAACTTTAAGTAACACACTATGGCCGCAAAAGTAATAAATGTGGTACATTATTGGAAACGTATTGAAAAGTTGACTTTGAATATTTAGTTCCGGCTTTGATGTCATTTTATGTCTTGTTGAGAAGTTATGAACAGAAGTTTGCAAAAACAACATAAAAATAATAAAATCATATATCTGTCAACGAAAAACTTACACGAAGAGTCGTCAAATATGAACTTCCGGTCCGACTTTCAGGTATTTTGCGAAAAACTCTAGGACTTACGAAGTTTAATTGGTTGTTTTTATTGCTTTTCTATTCAGCGAAAAGGGCATAAATTTAAACAATAATAATTCTTTAAATAAATTCTATTTTATTCGTAAGATGATGATTTACTAATCAAATTTCCGACGATATTTAACTGGGATAAATGTAGGAGGATTCTTCTTCTTATGGTGCCCTATCCAATTAGTGGAGGTTGGCGACAATTCTGGCATACTTCTCTCGATCTTGTCTGGCTCTAAAAAGTGCATGGGCATCGAGGTTTGTTCAATCCCTTATGTTTTTAAGCCATGAGTATGTCTTTCTTCCGATGACTCGTTTTCCTTCTATCTTCTCTTTCATAATAAGCTTTAAAAACTGGTACTTGGAATTTCGAAATATATGACCTAGATAAGCAGTGTTTCTTCTTTTTACTTCTTCTTCTTCTTAGAGTGCCCTATTCCTACGAAACGTCGGCGACTACCATGCTTATAATATTGTTATACTGATCTCGGTCTTGCGCTACGTGTAGCAATTGATCTGCTGTCAAACCTGTCCACTGCCGCAAATTCCTTAACCAAGAGAGTTTCTTCCGTCCTATGCATTTCTTTCCTTCGATTTTACCGTTGAGAATTAGCCGAAGAAACTCATATCTTGGTCCTCTGATTATATGTCCAAGATATTCTAGTTTACGCCTCTTAATAATATTTAATAGAGTTCCTCGATGTCCCATTCTTTGAAGAACTTCTTCGTTCCTGGTTCTGCTAGTCCATGGAATTTTTAGTAGCCTTCGATACAACCACATCTCAAACGCCTCGATTTTATTTATGATATCGGCGTTTAAAGTCCAAGTTTCACATCCATACAAAAGTACAGACCACACGTAACATCTTGTAAACTTTTTACGGATTTCCAAATTTATTGAGTTATTAGAAAATACGGGCTTGAATTTTTGAAATGAGTTTCTTGCCTGTTCAATTCTACATCGAATTTCGAAGGATGGATCTAGATTTTGGGTAATCCAATATACAAGGTAACTTTATATTTATCTATTTTAGTCTATTCGCTTGCAAATAATTTTAACTGCGCCTAAGGAAATTAAAAGATCATGTAACTGTCTGTATGGCAAACTGCCAAAGCCATTGTAAACAAAAAAAAAAACATCCAAGGTATTTGAATCTCTGAACTCTCTGCAGCGATTGTTGGTTTAATATCAGTTGGGTTGCGTCGATATCCACTTACTGGTCACCATGTATTTAGTTTTATCGATATTTATCAACAGTTCCCAATTTGTGCATTCCATGTCAACTCTATTGATTAGCTCCTGCAGATCGTCGATGTTTTCAGCTAGAATCACAGTATCGTTGGTGTACCGTATATTGTTAATTATTTCTCCTCCTATGATAATTCTTTTTTGATCTTTTAAAGCTTCCCTATATAGATTCTCAGAATACACATTAAAGAGGGTGGGAGATAGTATACAACCTTGTCTTACGCCTCGTTCAATACTGATTGGCTTTGATTCTCTGTTGTTGGTATTAATATTGGCTGTTTGGTTCCAGTAAAGTTTAGCAATAAGTTTGATGTCTTTCTAATCTAGTTGGATGCTCTGCAAGGCGGTTCTTTTTACTATTGACAGCAATTCTCGTTCTCTGCCCATTCGATTTAATACTTTGATATTTGTTGTGTGATCTGTCCAGGGAATTTTAAGTAGTCTTCTAAATTTTCTAATCGTTAAGTTGAGGCTGCTGTTGCTTAGCAAGGTTCTCATATTAGTAAATGTTGTTCTGGCTTGCTCAATACTGCTACGTATCTCTATGTCTGGATCTACATCTTCAGTTATCCAACTACCGACATATCTAAACTTGGGAACCTTTTGGATGTTCTTGTTGTTTACTCTTATATTTAATTGCGTGTTCTACTAACCACCATTGCCTTCGTCTTGTCTGTATTAATCTCCAAGTCCAGTCGTTCCCCTTCAGTGTTTATTCTATCTATTAGTCGTTGTAGCTCTTCTTAGCTATCAGCTATTATGACTGTATCATCAGCATAGCGAAGATTACTGATAGTCTGTCCGTTGATTTTAATTCCATCTTCAGTGTTACTTAAGGCTCTATCGAAAATCGTTTTAGAGTACAGATTAAAAAGGAGGGGTGACAGAACACAACCCTGTCGTACACCTTTTTCGATTGAGAAATATGATATAGATTCCAGTCCTACTCTTACAAATGCCACTTGATTCATATAAAGGTTCTTTATGATTTTAAGGTGGATGTAGTTTATCATCTATCGAACGTTCCTGGAGTAATCTTACTAATTCTAAACGATTAACACAATCGAATGCTTTCTGGTAATCTATAAAGCATAGGAAGACATCTTTTTGCTGATCTCTGCATTTCCAAATAGGACAGTTATGCTATAAAGTGCTTCTCTTGTGCCAAATCCTTGTCTGAAACTGAACGGTGTGGGGCTAATGTCTCTTTTACATCTGTTGTATATTCTTGTGCGAATTATCTTTAAGAAGAGTTTTAAGACCTGCTCAATACGCTGATCATTTGGAATTGGTCGCAACTATTAGCGTTTGGCTTTTTTGGGATTGGTATAAAAGTTAATCGAAGCCAGTCCTGTGGTATTTGACCGGACCCATAAATGTCATTAAAAAAATCTGCCAAGATATTTTGGGGGAGGGTTCACTTTTATATTTACTTTCAGAGTCTCTTCTAGTTGTGTCTGAGTATAGTTGCTGTGTGTAGTTTCTCCAATGTTGAAGTAGATCTTTGAGATCAGTAATAAATTTATTGTTCTTCACAATACTGCTAAAACTGCAAGGTTTTGTATGACTTGTCACTTCTTTAATGAGTTTATGTATGTTGAAGTGGTCATGTTGTTCTTTTAATTCCTCCATTTCTGCACACCTGTCTAGCAGCCACTGTTCTTTAGCTTTGCGACATTTTTTTGTATTTGTCGGTTGATCTGCTGATGTTTGGTTCAGTCTTTGTTTTTAAATGATCTGCGGTCGTCCATCATTAAAAATATTTCATCAGTCATCCAATTCTTCTTTTTGTACTTTTGGGAAGCGATCAGAGAGTTGGTGGTGCTTACGGTAGCTGTTTTAATACAATTCCATTTGTCTGCTATACTGAGCGGTTGTTTAGATCTTATCGTAATATCCGCTATTGCCTCATTTAATCTTTATGTGACTTTAAGTTTAACGTTAGGTTGTTTTAAGCTGTTTATATCAATTTGCTTTATACATTTTCTTTTAATTTTCTTAAGCTTAATTTTCAATTTTCCTACTACGGGATTCCTGATCAGATCTGATATCTGTTTCAGGGTACGTTTTTACTCCTTGCAATACATTTCTGTATCTCTGATTAATCAATAAAAAATCAATTTAATTTCTTACGATGTTGTCATGCGTATGTTGTAGAGACTGCCAGGTGTAGAGTCTCGGAGTTGGCAGTTTGTACCGGGGATTCGCAATGACTAATTTTTCTTCTTGACAGAACTGTATTAGCATACCACCGCTCTCATTTCGATCTCCCAAACTAAAGTCATCTTGAACACGTCCTTTGCATTGAAATCTCCCATGATTATAAGAGTTTGGTTTTTTTTTATCAGTTTCATCTTCATCATCAACTCCTTAATCTCTATTTTCAAGTGTTTTACTTCATTTTCACTCTTGTCCAAGGTTGGTGCATATATTTGTATAATATTGAGGTCAACAGGATAGGCTTGGACTTGTAGTAGTGCTGCCCTATCTAAGTATGCTACGAAAGTCCTTACTGATTTGTTAGAGGCTGTGTCAACTAAAAATCTAACTCCGTTATATTGATAGGGTAGGTTATTTCCTGAGTAATATATTATCGTTTTTTTTTAGTACATTTACCACTGTTAGGCAAACTAATTTCGCTAAGTCCTATGTTCTATGCAAAAATGTTTATTGTTTGCAGGTTTTACTTAATAATAATATAAAACTTTAATAATAAATATTGATTCATGTTTTTACGAGCTGAAAATATTTATGTTTACATTTTTAGCATGATGCCTCCGTTTTACTGGATGACGACATTGCAGATGCTTCTGACACCAGGTACAATAAACCAACTTGGTACACTCTTCCAGATATAGGTGTCAACAAAGCAATTTTTGATTCAGCGTTTCTAAAAACCGGTGCTAATTTTCTAATATTAAACTACCTATCATCCCATCCACAATGCATTAATATCCAAAAATCACTTTTGATTTCATATTCAATGACGAATGTGTCTCAATTATTTGAAATCCAACAGTTCAAAATGGAGGAAATAGAAAAGTATCAAAATGTTTTAAAGTTTTACCAATTTGCTCTACCTTTGATTTCTTCTGCCCTATATTTGGCGAACATTGATGACAAAAATATTCACGCGGCTGTTCATGAGACTTGCATAGAGATTGCAGAGTTTCAGAAAATTCAGGTAAGTTCCAAAGTATGACCACATCATGTAATTATAGTATTTAAACCTGATGATAACTTGACTCTATACAGGGTATCAGTGTCTACGATAGAATTCAGAAGGTGATTCTGGAGAAAAATCAATCAGTTTGTTATATAAATATATGTTCGCAGATGCTTCTTTTCCACGGGGTGTTAATTTTTTTCTTAAAAACTGACGATTTTTTTACTGCTCTGAAACGAATTAAGTATGTAGGTGAATTTTAATGAGTTTTAAGAGGTAGTCATTCCGCATTTTTGACATATAAGAAAAAATTTATATTCACAAAAAGGTACGCCACTGAGATTGAGATTTTAAATGAAAAAATCTTTTTTAAGTTCTTTAATACATAATCAAGAATTATCTAGTACAAAAATAATAAACCAGGACAACAACAGAAAGTAGCACTAAGAAAATTTTTAAAATAGGCGCATACCTACAAAAAATATTTAAAATGACCTTCCTTAGAGGTGACACAATATTTAACTGTTCGCCTTATTGATTGTCGTAATTGTTCAAATATTCCTCGTATTTTTCTTATCGTCTAACAGCTTGATATAATTCCTCAGCTCATCAGCATTTTCGACGGGAGTGAAATATACTAAGAATTTAAGATAGGGGAAAGTAGTGTACCTTGGGCATGATTTTTTAATTATATTATAGTTTTGGTACAGTGAACAATAGTTCAAGTATTATGTCACAATTATTATCATTAGACCTTTAGACATCATATATTGCGCAAATATTTTCTGAAATTGCATCATTGAGATATTTCTGATATGATAAACAATTATTTCCATTTGACTCAACATAAGCTGTGTACCTTGGGCATACATGAAGCGTACCTTGGGCATAATGGAGTGTACCTTGGATTTTTGGCTTGTATCTCATTCTGAAAGAGTCTAAAGAACATTTGTTTATTGTTTAACTATTTAAACAAAGTTGGTTTGAATTATTTTTATTTAGAAATCCAAAACAGAAAACATATGCAAGTAAAAACATAATTTTATTCCAAATTGTATGGATAACTCTGAAGGTTGCTTAGTTGAAGAGCGCGTCTTTTAGAAGATCCTACTTCACATGGTTGAGGTAACTTGATCAAAAAGTCTGCTTTTTTTATGGTGTAAATACGTTCGTCTATAAATAAATTTATTTTCATTTCGTTTTAAATATTGTACCAAAAACTCTTCTCTTTCTATGTCAATCACTTCAGTCAAATAATAATGTATTTTCTTTTTTCCTTCTAACTTTGTAATCCAAAATTCATTTTGCTTAATATTCAAATCAAAACTCGTCTTTGACATGCTTCTACATTCAATGTCACTGCAATCAGAAATTGGTGGCCAATCAATATCATCCACTGAATCACTTTCACTGATTTCTAATTCAGACTCCGATGTTGAACTTTCCAGAACCTTGCGTTTTACTTGTTTTATTTTCTGCTTCTACTTAACATATTTTTTTATTGCCTTTTCTATTATTTCATTTTTTTCCGGTGTTTCAGGTAAAATTCGACATCGACCAAGTTGTCTTCTTGTACGACCAGTTCAGTAATGGGTTTGCCGTAATGTGCTTGCATCCAATTAGTAGCAGCACAATTATAAAATTTTTTTAGTGGTCCGAAAACACCCCTATCGAGGGGCTGCAACTTGTGACTTGTATGGGGCGGAAATGTCAATGAAACAATGCCATTATCTCTAGCTAGTGTAATAATATCTATGTTGACATGGCTTTCATGGTTGTCTAATACAATCAGGACTTTGATTTCGTTTGAAGGCTTGGCATGCTTAATAAAATGCTTTAGAAATTTAATAAATTGTTTACTATTAGACCATCCACTTGGGTGAGCAGAGCCGATAGTACCAGAAGGAGCTCCTTTAATCATATGCTCCTTAAAGTTCACACGAGGAAAAATCATCATTGGTGGTATGCTATTACCTAAGGCATTTATGCAACAGATAAGTGTAATGTTTACGCCTCTTTCTCCAGAAGAGATGGAACCAACTTGTTTTGCGCCTTTACTTGCTATTATTTTAACTGTTTGGTGAACGGTTGTGATTCCAGTTTCATCGATATTGTAAATATTTTCTGGAGAAAATTTATGTTTATCCAATAAATATTTTAGTTTATCAAAAAACAATTTAACGTTGTTGCGATTAAAACTGGTGGCTCGCGACAAGCTAGTTGATTGAGGTTTTCTGAGAATTAGAATTGGGTTTCGTTTCATAAAATTTTTATACCAATCTCTTCCAGCTTTTTTCCGTTCGTCCCATGTTGAGGGATAAACTTTCCTATTAATTTTTGCAAACTCATATGCTAATTTACGAGTCTCTAAAATAGAAAGTCCATAAAGTATTTTACTAGCACGGACTAAGTACAGTCCCAATACATTCTCTTCTGTTGCTGTAAATACTTTTCGTACGTCACATTTATTTTGATATTGATAACTATTACCATCATCTCCCATGGCTTGGGCTTTGTGGACATGTCTCTGAAGCGTGCTACGTGGTATTTCAAATCTTTTAGCAGCATCCCGAATCGAAGAGGAATTTGACACTACTAAACTAACTGCCTCATTTATATTTAATATGTTGGGTTTACTCCTGGTTACTCCATTTTTACTTCGTGGCATCTGTAAATAATAAAGAATAACAAAAATAAATATAAAATTAAAAAAACAGATTTTATTTAAAATTTAAGTGCATTAACTACCAACGTGTGTGTACTTAGGGCCGGCCCAAAGTACACTGACACTACCCGGCCCAAAGTACTCACACATCAGCTAAACCTCGTTACATAAATAAAATTGTGATTTTAAAATAGATTTAAACCTTAATTGTGTACACAAATGTTCCAGAAACCATAAGAAATACCCTCAAAAATAAAATCTTAAATCTATCACTTACCGTGCTGGTATTTACGAAAAAAAGACACACAAAATTTACTTTTGTATCGAGCAACTCTTAAAATGCAAATGAACGTCTCTGAAGGTCAGATCAACGATGGCGGTCAGTGTGTATCGGTATAAAGCGCTGTTGCCAGTATCGCTTAAATGTTTCAATATCAAAGAATTAACGCAACAGAATATTTCAAGGATGGTTCAAGGTACACACCGGCCCAAGGTACACTACTTTCCCCTAACCCCAAAGACACGGGTTTGTCTCACGTCTCACAAGTCGTTCTCCTACTTTATGAAAGTGATTAAAATTTGCACTGCATGGCCGTCTGATAACATTTTTATTGATCATTAGGAATCGATCTTAGGATATCCGCAGCATCACCTCGTAAAGTAGAAATCAAGAAAATAGCCTTTTATTATTCTGTATTCTGGATCAAGAAAACTTTCCATCAAATGGTGGCAATTTCAATTTCATATGATGTGTCGTTTCATTTCTAGGTGATTCTTCTTTAATTGTGGGTTTTAAAACGACTGCATTAACTTAACTTAACTTAACTGTGGTAGCACTTTGGTATTAGTTATCATGCTCTCTCGCTGTTTGATTTTTTCTTCTAACTTATCAAATGTTCTAGAAACTTCTTCAAATTTCTCATTGTTCTGAATACATACTTCATCGAATCTTCAAGAGGCATTTTCGAATTTCTCGTCGTTTTGTCTAGCTACTTCTTTAATAATTTTAAAGGATTGAAATATTATCATATTATATCCTTTAGCATAAAACTAACAATTATTTGAAATGAGGTTGAATGCTCGAATAAATGAACTTTGAAAATAAGGCTATTATTGAGCACAAGTTAATTAAATCTAGCCCAAGTACTTTCGCTTAAAATAGCATCTTCAGGGGCATCTGAAATAAGCCAAGAAAACGTTTTTTAGATGAAGTAAATTAGTTAACTTCGACAAAAAAGTCGAAGTTATTGGATGAAAAAAAGTTTTTGAGATTAACGTTTTAGACTTACTTCGTCAAAATGTGAACTATCCGGCAAGCGTAGAATGTGAAAACATTAAAAATAACATAAAATTGTACAAAACACTACACTAAAACGAGGAGAAACAGTTTAAAATTACTTCTACGCTACATTCTCTGTCAGTATCTGGAGGGATAATGATCTAAGCGGAAATGATACGGTGACATGTGACATATGACAACTTCGATAGGCAGTCAAAGTTATGGATCTGTGATCCGCAAATATTAAAATTCTGTATAAGTTGTCATTGGCCAAAGGTCCAACTAGAACTACTACTGAAAAAAATCAGCTGATGAAATATGACATATAGAATATTTTGATTTAAACTAGATTGCATAATCCAGATCTCACACTCACACCCGTCTGTAATAATAAGGTTGTAGGTTTGAGGCTAAATGAAGTGTACATAAAGTGTGAATGAAAGAAATAGACTAAACGATCTATCGGACAGTGGGTAGTTGACTACAATAAAATGGTCTACCAGGCACTGTCAGTACTGCAAAACGAGAAGAAAATTGACTATGAAATTGAAAAATTAAAATTAGATCAGAATTGAAAGCAGTGTGTAAATGGGTATAGTTCAAGTAGTTCAGTTAAACCTCAAGCCAATGGGGGAACTATAAAACTAATATGTAATAGCATTACTAAAGACCAACTGACCAACAGGTGTTGAAATATGAAACTGTGGAATTAGTATATGTAGATTATACAGAGGTATGAAGAGTGAAATCAACTCCAACTGTGGATCAATTGAATCTGAGCAAGCTAGTTGTGTAAATTGTTAAATACAATAGTAATGCTGAACAGAGCTTGAAATTGGTAGATTCTTAATGTATAAACTCAGTGCAGGAAGTCTAGACAGCCGAGCTGGGTCCACTACGAGGTGAAGCTGTAATAAAGTTTTTAAAAATAGGTTTAAATTTAGTACAGTTTAAATTAATTTGAGTATTAAGACAATGAGAGTTTCCATTTTTTTCCCTTGTGATCTCCAAATCTTCCAATAGATCCAACTCCAAATGGTTTTTCTTTCTACTGATGTCATGCAAAATAGACGACCCAGTATTGATGTTGAAATTGTGTTTGCTAGACTCTAAATATTGACCAAAACTTGAAGATTTTGGTCTTTTTAAATATTCTGATATTCTAGTAGATAGCTTTCTAATGGTTCTGCCTACATAAGAGGCCTTACAATCATCACACTTAAATTTGTAAATACCACTTTTGTCAAGTGTGTTCAGCCTGTCTTTGGTGTTAATTAAAAAGGGACCTACAGTGTTGTGTGACTTAAAGGAAATTTTGATGTTTTCAACTGTAGAAGTAAAAAGTTTAGCTAGACTTTAGACTTCCTGCACTGAGTTTATACATTAAGAATCTACCAATTTCAAGCTCTGTTCAGCATTACTATTGTATTTAATAATTTACACAACTAGCTTGCTCAGATTCAGTTGATCCACAGTTGGAGTTGATTTCACTCTTCATACCTCTGCATAATCTACATATACTAATTCCACAGTTTCATATTTCAACACCTGTTGGTTAGTTGGTCTTTAGTAATGCTATTACATATTAGTTTTATAGTTCCCACATTGGCTTGAGGTTTAACTGAACTACTTGAACTATACCCATTTACACACTGCTTTCAATTCTGATCTAACCCCCTCTGTGGCTCAGTGGAAAGAGCGCCTGCCTTTAAACCTAAAGGTCGTGAGTTCGAATCCCACCTGGGTGGAAATTTTCGTTTATTAAAAAAATTAATAAATGAAAATAATTTCTATCCTTGTGTGATCGGTACACACCGGAGGGACCGCAGACGTTCGGATACAATTAGCGTCTCATAGCAAAGACAATGACGTCGACTTTGCTAAGTATCAAGACAATTACTCTACACACACACACACTACAACTCAAATTGTAAGATTGGCGAATGGATTTAGTGTCCGCAGTCATTTAAACACAAACAAACAACAACAACAATTCTGATCTAATTTTAATATTTCAATTTCATAGTCAATTTTCTTCTCGTTTTGCAGTACTGACAGTGCCTGGTAGACCATTTTATTGTAGTCAACTACCCACTGTCCGATAGATCGTTTAGTCTATTTCTTTCATTCACACTTTATGTACACTTCATTTAGCCTCAAACCTACAACCTTATTATTACAGACGGGTGTGAGTGTCAGATCTGGATTATGCAATCTAGTTTAAATCAAAATATTCTATATGTCATATTTCATCAGCTGATTTTTTTCAGTAGTAGTTCTAGTTGGACCTTTGGCCAATGACAACTTATACAGAATTTTAATATTTGCGGATCACAGATCCATAACTTTGACTGCCTATCAAAGTTGTCATATGTCACATGTCACCGTATCATTTCCGCTTAGATCATTATCCCTCCAGATACTAACAGAGAATGTAGCGTAGAAGTAATTTTAAACCGTTTGTACTCGTTTTAGTGTGTTGTTTTGTACAATTTTATGTTATTTTTAATGTTTCCACGTGTTTTTATCGAAGTTAACTAATTTCCTTTATCTAAAAAACGTTTTCTTGGCTTATTTCAGATGCCCCTGAAGATGCTATTTTAAGCGAAAGTACTTGGGCTAGATTTAATTAAGTTGTGCTCGATAATAGCCTTATTTTCAAAGTTTAAACAATTATTTAACTAATAAACCCAAATGTTGACTGTATTACAGTTTAAAATGTTATTTTACAATTTTTAACAATTTATGGTAATTTTTACTCTTAAAAAACCAAAAGTATACAACGGCATGCTTTAAAAAATGAACTAGAGGTTGAAATGTTTGTATAAATCGATGCTGGACGAAAAAATTCCGAGGTTTTGCCATTTTTTCAGAATAAGAATAAGATTTCAATGATATGTGTAAGTTTTCTATAAGTTCTAAGACAGAGAATAAAAAAATCATAGAGATCAGAGAACTTACAGTTCTGTGTAATATCTTAGTATCTCTGTGATGTCTTAGTATAGTGCATAAGGGTATAACTTATTATGTTAAAAGTCAAAATTATTATTTAAAATGTCCTTTTATTTTAATTTTACACATTTTTAGGACGATGTGGCTTGTGTATTCGGATCAATTTCCGACACACAAAAGTCCTGCACTGACGTATCCGAGGGCAGACCATCCTGGCTTGCCATGGAGGCTTACAAAAGAGGAGATGAAGGACAAAGAAAGATACTAGAGAAACATTATGGTGTTAACAATAAGGAATCAGTTGCAAATGTTTATAAAGTCTTTAGACAATTAAAACTAAAGGAAGCTTATGATGAGTTTCAGAAAGATTTTTATGAAGAAATGCATTTTAAGATACATAATAAATTGCCGAAGAGTCTACCGCCAAAATTATTTATGGATTTACTAGACTCTTCTATGAGTGGTAGATTTAGGGTATAATGTTAAAAGAGTTAGAAAAACCGGAAACTACTTTAAGCTGTTTTTAAAAGGATTGTTTTAAATACAGTGCTCAACAATTAAATCTTTTATTTCAGAAACCACCTAAGTGCGCTTTTTTCAACTTTCAGAAAACTTAAAAAAACTTATTTGTAGCTTAAGTATAAGTCTAGTCTCCTTCAAATATTTTTTACCAATAGGCCAATCAAGTTAGGTTTTTACTCATCACAAGTGTATAGACGGGTTTGACAGTTGAAATAAGTAGTATGAGATATTACAAAAAGACTCTCATCTAGGGATTCATGAATTTTTTAGTGGAAATATTTTTAAATAAACAATTAAAACGTCAATATCATTATTTTGCTCATAACTTATAAACTTGTCTATTTAGAGATTTGACGTCCACAGACAAGTTGTTGAGAAAAAAAAATACACAAAATGAAATATACTAAATTAAAATCGGTTAATAAACAAAAAAGTTATTGCATAATAACCAAGCAAAACCACTGTTTTTGATTATTGTTAATTACTCTTTTATTAATCAATAAAATTTATTTAAATGTATCTGACCTTAAAGACCTTATCGTGTACGAGGTGTGTGCGAAAGATAGGCTAGATCCGTCGAATAGTTTTTGCACAATTTAATTTGTTTATAAGATTTTTTGAAAAACGCACAAATTTCTAAGGCCGGTCCAGATAATTTGACTGAACGGATCTTAATAATCCGGGGCTTATTTTCTTTGTTGAGACATATATTAATATCCTATGGAAAAAAAAAGTTAAAAAAAATTACGTTTGTGTACACAAAATGATTTAACAATAAATAGCACTTTTTAAGCTTATAAACATTTACAATAACTCCGTACTATTTAGTTTAAATTAAATGGCAATAAAATATTCGGAAAGCTGGTTAAAAAACACAACTAAAAAAAAAATAAAAAGGTCCTGCGACCATTAGGAGCCGAGTTAGTCCTTTTTTTTTAAAATCACTGTTACGTCAATTAACAACATTAAGGGCTGAAATTAACCAATCTTTTAGAAGAAAAGTCAAAGTTTTTAACAAAATATTTAGCAAACAAAATAATTGAAAATTGATTAAACAGGAGTGTTGTAAACCAAGAGTACTTTGCGTTCCGACTCAAATGGAAGCAGTGGGGATTGCCGATTGCACTCAAGCCGCGCTCTAAAAAAAGTCGAGCGTCGAGCGCACGTCGAAAGCAGATGCTGTTAGGCCGTTAAGTTACAACTCATTTTCCTGCGACTATACAACCGGTTTGTTGTATTGAAATATTTAGTGTTTTGTTTTATTTAATAATTGTTACAAATAGTTAATGGGAAGTAAAATTCATCTGAGTATTAAAAAAAACTACGTGTTGTGATATATATTAATATAAACACATGGTTGTACCACGTTGTCTGAATAATATACGGTTAACTTTGAATATAATATTATTTTACTATTATAATGTACTAATATTTATGAAATTATTAATGAAGAAGAAAACGATACAACAGATGAACAAGAGATAATTGATGAAATGTATTTAACTGGGTTTGATGAGAATAGCGACAATGAAAATGAAATGATTTATGAAAGTTATAATACAAGTGAAATTAAAGATGAAAGTGAAGATGAATGTTTACATAGTAGTAGCAGTGACGATATAGAAATTAAGCGTAGAAAATTACAGTAAATTAAATTATTTTAAAAAATCACTACACAAAATTTCAACTTCTGTAATAACATAAAATTAATTTATTATTTCATTAATAAATTTTTAGTAAACATTATTCAAAATGTTCATTTACTTATAACATTTATTTAATATAATCATATTTGAAATAAATAAATAGAAAAATAACAATAAAAAGACGACTTAAGAAAAAGTTTGTACATTCCGTAGTCATTAGCTGCTTTGTTTTGAATAATTTTGCAATGAAAGTACGTTAAATGTTATTATTTTAACGTTGTACCCCAGTTTAAAAAAAAAAGAACAAATTTGGTCCACTAGAACCCGAGATATGTAATTTTTTCCAAGCACTCTATTTTGAAACCGTGCGCTCGACTTTTTTGGAGAGCGCGGTTTGTGTGCAATCGGCAATCCCCACTCCTTCCATTCTAGTCGGAACGCAAAGTACTCTTCGTTTACAACACTCCTGTTTAAACAATTTTCAATTATTTTTTTTGCTAAACATTTTGTGAATAACTTTGACTTTTCTTCTAAAATATTGGTTAATTTCAGCCCTTAATGTTGTTAATTGACGTAACAGTGATTTTTTTTAAAAAAAGGACTAACTCGGCTCCTAATGGTCGCAGGACCTTTTTTTTTTAAAGTTGTTGTTTTTTAAACCCGCCTTCCGAATATTTTATTGCCATTTAATTTAAACTAAATAGTACGGAGTTATTGTAAATGTTTATAAACTTAAAAAGTGCTATTTATTAATAAATCATTTTGTGTACATAAACGTATTTTTTTTTAATTTTTTTTCCACAGGATATTAATATATGTCTCATCGAAGAAAATAAGCCGCGGATTATTAAGATCCATTCAGTCAAATTATCTGGACCGGCCTTAGAAATTTGTGCATTTTTCAAAAAATCTTATAAACAAATTAAATTGTGCAAAAACTATTTGACGGATCTAGCCTATCTTTCGCACACACTTCGAACACGATGAGATCTTTAAGTTTAGATACATTTAAATAAATTTTATTGATTACTAAAAGAGTTATTAACAATAATCAAAATCAGCCGTTTTGCTTGGTTATTATGCAATAACTTTTTTGTTTATTAACCGATTTTAATTTAGTATATCTCATTTTGTGTATTTTTTCTTTCTCAACAACTCGTCTGTAGACGTCAAATCTCTAAATAGACAAGTTTATAAGTTATGAGCAAAATAATGATATTGACGTCTTAATTGTTTATTTAAAAATAGTTCCAATAAAAAATTCATGAATCCCTAGATGAGAGTCTTTTTGTAATATCTCATACTATCCATTTCAACTGTCAAACCCGTCTATACCTGTCGAAAAAACGCTTATTTTCTACTAACTTGACTCGTCTACAAGCCAAAAACATACTATTGGGATAATCTATATTTTATTTTCTTTTTCTTCAAGTTTTTGTGTAATAAATTTAAAAAAAAATTGCACTAAGGTAGTTTCTGCAATAAATGAGTGTATCTAAAGTGATTTATTTTAATGTATATTTAAAATTAAGCCAAACCATTAGTTTTTATCTGTTTTGGTATCAAAGATAAGTAACAGACACACGTAAGTATCGAAAGAGTGTTTTTACTATGCTTAAATTGAAAAATACAAGTGGACTACACGCTATACATGTTATTGTATTGTACTGTTATGTCTATATACAAAGATCTGGCTTTGCTCACTTATTCAACTTCTGGAACTCCTTGTTCAACGCCTTGTCAGTTGTTAACCATTGGATGATACTTTCATAAAAGTCTTCATATCCAACAGTGTATTCCATCAACTTTTTTTATATCGTCTATCTTTTTTTTGATATAAGGTTGAATGCTTACATAAATGAACTTTGATAGGCTATCTACCTTTCATCGTATTAAAATATCTTTTTTTTTTTGTTAATTGGGACCTAAAACCAAAAATCTCTGTCTAAAATAAGATAAATTATAAAATTTGTAAGAGTCTACAACAATTTTTATCTATAATATCTATAATAAATGTTTTTCGATAAATTTTAAAATTTGTAATAGTCTACAAAAGTGTTTATCCAAAAGTAAAACATCATCGTTTAAAATAACCTTGGTAAAATAACAACCTAAGCATACCTTTTCCAAAGGATAAGCTTTCTCTGTTGGTAGTTCATAGGGCTAGCAGTTTCTAGCAAGGTGAAGGTAGATGTTGTTATACCAGAAATTGAACAAATATCCTCGTACAAATACCTTGGAGCATAGAAGATACTGATCAGACAAAAGAAATGAGATGCCGCGGTCAACTTTTAATAGAATGAGAAAACTTTTTTGTAATCGCAATACCAATATATCGCTCCGGATAAGAATGCTTCGATGTTATATTTTCTCTACCCTTTTGTATGGAGTTGAAGCTTTGACACTTAAAAAATCCAACATTAAAAACCTAGAAGCATTCGAAATGCGGTGTTACCGACGTATTTTGAAAATATCATGGATGGATCGCAAAACAAACGAACAAGTTCTCGAACAACTAGGAAAACAATGCGAAAACAGTTTTAAATTCCATAAAAATCAGGAAATTGGAATACTTGGGGCACATCATGAGAGGTGAAAAGTACGAACTACTAAAGAATATAATGCAGGGTAAAATCAAAGGTAGAAGAAGCGTAGGAAGACGTAAAATCTCGTGGCTACGCAATCTCCGTGAATGGTTTGGATGCAGTTCAATTGAACTATTCAGGCGAGTAACCAATAAAATTATAATTGCCAGAATGATTTCCAATCTCCGATAGGAGTGGAACTTGAAGAAGAAGAAGATTTTAGTTTTTGCAGAAAATAATTTTATGTTACTTTATTTCAATAAACTGTTTTCAAAATACCACTACGTCAACAAACTGTTAAAATATTTAAAATAATAATTATGTTCCTTATCAATTGTTGAGCATTGTATTTAAAACCCAGTCGTTAACACTTTTACCATGATTTTTTAATATTAGGCTACCTACTTTATTTTATACTACCAACAATTTACTTAATTATTATAAACTTAATTAAGCTGCTATCCCCATATCATAATAGCAGCAGATAAGCAGCATAAAAGCAGGTATTACTGTATCATAAATAAAATATTTTTAAACAATAAAATGTAGTTTTATATGTATACAGATTGAACCAAATTAAAACGGAACATACAATTTAATACATGTGTGTTTGAACTGAATTTGAAATAGTGGACCAATATAAAACTCGGACAAAAATGAATCCATACCTGGGTATAGACATTGTATAAAATATCGTTCAACTATCTGTGTCACAACAATG